CTTTGAGGTATCTCCATATTGATTTCCATAGTGGTTGCACTAGTCTGCACTCCCACCAACAATGGAGGAGGGTTCCTTTCTCCCCACAACCCCGCCAACATTTGTTATTGTGTGATTTCTTGATAGCAGCCATTCTTTGTGGGGTGAGGTGGAATCTCAGTGTTGTTTTCATCTGCATCTCTCGAATGACCAGTGATGTGGAACATTTTTTCATATATTTTCTTGCTGCTTTCACTTCTTTGTATGAGAAATGTCTGTTCATTTCGGATGCCCATTTTTGGATCGGGTCTTTATATTTGGGGGGACTGATTGTTTTGAGTTCTTTATAAACTGGGATCTCATCTTACTAAAAAGCTTCTGTACTTCAAAAGAAACCATTAGCAGAACTAAGAGACAATCTACAATGTGGGAAAAAATTTTTACCAGCTGTACCTCAGCCTAATGTTTTTTAAGTGCCTAAGTACTATCCCAGTACTGCACAAAAACCACAAATAGGCCTGTGTTCCTAAACTAGGAAAAAGTTTAAATTAGTGTATCCTTGAAGTATATCTACCATATGACCTGAAAAAAAAAAACTTGCATGGGACATAAATACTGTTGATTAGTGAAGCACAGTGGCAGGCCTATCTAGTTCCAGCTGCTCAGGAGGCCTAGGCAGGAGGATGACTCAAGCCCAGGAGTTGGAAACCAGCCTGGGCAAATAGGGAAACCCCATCACTCCCCACCCAAAATTGTTCACTGATACTTTGTATAATCAAAACTCTTGTTTAAGAATCTATATTATAGGACAATACAATCCTTTAGCTTTAGCTAGGTACTTTTATTATATTTGGTTTATGTATGAGGCATTGATATTCAAAGAGACTAAAAAATGAAAAAGAGGGCAGGGGATGTAGCTCAGTGGCACTGTGCCTACCTGGCAAGTGCAACATCCTGAGTTTTATCCCTGGTACAAAGAAGGAAGGAGGAGGAGGAGGGGGAGGAGGAGAGGGATGAAGGGGAGGAGAAGGAAGGGAGGAGGGACTGGGGAAGAAAGAAGAAGAAGAGGAAGGAGGAGGAGGAAGAAGGGAAAGGGGAAGAAGAACAAGAAAAAGAAGTCTCCAAGGTCGCCAGCTGATAATTTTGTGGTAGGAACCGCTATTCTAAGTCTTCTATTTTCAGAGAAAGAGAGAGAGAGGAAGAGACAGGGAAAGAAAAGAGTAGGAGGAGAAAGAAAGAAAAAGAAGGTGGAGAGGAAGAGGAGGAAGGAGAAAGGAAGAGGAAAGAAAGAGGAGGGCAGTGGATTTAGCTCAGTGGTGCCACCATCTGCCTCCAAAGCTCAAGGTCCCGAGTTTGATCCCCAGTACCAAAAAAGAAAGAGAAGGAAACTGAGTACTTGATCTTGATCTAAAGTCATTTCCAATTCACTGTTGGTACTTTAATGCCTTCATATGAAAATGTTAATTTTTTCGTACCACTTAAAAGAAGGGAACTAGACTTAGAGAAGCAAAATAAAATTGTTCAAGTAGTTCCAGAAACACTATGATTTCACCTAGTTCTTGTCAGTCTCCAACAACCACCTACACCACAAGTAAAAGTAGACCCCACGTGACTACCCAGCTTGCATGTCTCCAGAGTATCAAAGGGACCAGTCCAAACCCAGCTCTCTGAGTAGATTTCAAGTATCTGGAAAGTAGATAATCAAAGTATATCTTCATATCGTGTACCAAAATAGATTCCAATTGGATAAAAGATTTTTGAATCATGCAAGTAAGATTTGCAGGCACAAAGCTATAAAAGGAAGAGACTTTAAATTAAAATGCTGATTTTTAAATGCATTAAAAATGAACAATTATAACACAAATGAAAATGTAGTGAAAACATAACATTATAGTAGAAATGAGATGAATACCTTTAGATGAGAAATACTCTGAGGCCTCAAATTTTATTTGGCGTAAAGAAGGAATGAAGAAGCACTTCCTAAGAGAAGAAACGTGTGTCGACTAGAAATAAATTAATAATTAATTCTACTATAACCTCATAAATACAAAAATACAAATTAAAACCATGGATTACAGTCTTCACTCATTAAGTTATAAAGTTACTAACAAAGGAGCGAAGGAACAGCATCACTCAGATTTCCGAGGGAATTCTGCTACATGTTGAGTAGCAAAATATCTAAAAAGCTCTAACTACCCATGTTTTTCTACCAGCAATTTCACTTCTATGAATATTTCCTACATAGAGGTCTGTAAACTTTTTAAATAATGATGTTGAAGCATTGTTTTAATCATTGGAAGACTGGAATCTTGTCTTAAACTCACATCACCTATTGCATAGAGATCTCTCATTGATGGTCATACTGAAATAATGTCACAACTTAGCATTAGTCAAAATTGAGTTTTTGCTAGGACACAGGCTTAAAACAACGGAGCTCTAGAGTTAAGGTTCTAGAGGTAGGAAAGTCAACGATGCTCAGGTTTTCAGAAACGTACATGAACATTTACCATGAGCTCTCAGTCATGGGACCTAGGTCAGGGACCATTCAGATTAGTATAATTTACCACTGACATAAGTTTCACACCTCAGCTCATTGAAAGTCGAAAGAAAAAAGAAACTCAGATACTACCAATATCAGGCTTTAGCTTCAGTTACCTTGACAATGGTAAATGATGCAAATCAGCAAATTAAAGTGGTGTCCGAGCAAATGAAGCCCTAAGTTTGCTTCCCCACTACACTCAGAGGCAGACTTGTCTGTAGAAAACGGCCACTGTACAAACCCTGGAGTCTTCATCTCTGCACCCCAAGATAGTGATGCAAAAGGAAAGGACCTTTTCATGAGTTATCCTAAGAGAATTTCACTGGAAATAATCAAAGACTTTATAGTTCACTTCTGTTGGTCTCCACTCCTCACCTCATCAGTCAGGTCCCCATTCAGGACACACAGCATGCTCTAAAAGGTTTAACAGGAAGGAGGAGGAGGTGGAGGATGAGAAAAGAAGAGAGGTGAGGAAGAAGAGAGAGGAGAAATGAGGGAAGAATTGGGGGAGGAGAGCAGAAAGGAGAGGAGGTAGAAAAAAAAAGGAATC